TATTGAATTGCAAGTAGACAAGTCCCATTAAGCACGATTCTTGTATTTCCAAGATCATCTCATTACTCCATTCAACCCCAAATCAGCATGCCATTTATTCCCTTGTTTCTGAACCCTCTTCACTTAATAGTCTCATAAACATCCATCCATCACAAAAAGGACTTGAATTTTTCTCACTTTCATTTTTAGTTGATTCATTGCTATCCAAGTAATGATTTGTCTGGGGGAGTCATTAGTAGAGAATTGTGCTCTTAAATTTATTTTTATAGTTGGATTCTGCTAGTTAATATCTCTCTCTGTCATTCTCACATTGCAACAAATGACTATGGGTTTCTATCTCAACCTAAAATCTAGGTTAGAAATTTGGTTTTATCTGAATAAGATATTAATAGATAATGTGAGAAAAAACTTAACTTGCTGAAACTTTTCTCAGCTAAGAATGACACTCATGGTCACAAATATGTATGTATGCAAGTGGAAAACTGGGCTGTAAATATAATAAACTCTTAGAATAATTATGTTTAGAGATAAGATTTTTCTTTTTTCTTCTTTTTTAGTAAAGTGTATTTGCTATGGTTGGAATGATTGTGTCTCCTCCAAAATTCATGTTGGAACTTAAACCCCAATGTGATAGTATTAACAGATGGAGTCTTTAGGAGATGACTAAGTCATGAGGGAGGAGCCCCCTCATGAGTGGGATTAGTGACCTTATGAAAGGGCTTGAGGGAGCTACCTAGCTCAGTTTTCTTCTTTTGTTTTTCTGTCCTTTCCACCATGTTAGAACACAAAAAGTGCCATCTTGGTGACACCCAAAACATGGCTAAATCTCACATGATTCCATGGATTCGTTTCACCTGTTATTGAACTTCATATAAATGGAATCATTCCTTATGTGTGCGTTTGTGGCTGGCTTCTTTCATTCAACATAATCCTGTGAGATTTAGCCATGTTTTGGATACTGGTAGTTGTTTATTTTTCTGGTTGTGTAGTTTTCCATATTTCGTTTATTACCCTTCTATTTTTGTCTCTAACTCTGTGTCTTGTGGGGTCTATTGGTCCTTTTTAGCTAGATTGATATTGAACATCTTATCAATGGAGCTTAGGAAATTTTTAGAAGACAAAAGCCTAATAAATCCAAGCCCCCCAATCTTAAGCCAAGCTTCCTTCTCACGCCTGCTTCGTTGCTCTTCTTCATGTGGTATTTTTTCCCTCACAAAACTGATGGAAATTAAGAAACCCAAAAGCTCTTCATCATGTTATCAGCTTAGGGACTCTTGTTATCTGAGTAACAGGGTAGATATTTATAATCTGAAATGTTAAAATAACTATAGCAAACATTTATATAGCAATAACTGCTGTTCAAAGTGCTTTATATATATTATTTTCCTCAAAACAACTCTGTGAAATAGACACTATTATTGTCATCCCCACATTTTAGATGGAGATATTGAGGCACAGCAAGACCGTGTAACCTTGCCAAAGTGGTAGAGCCAGGACTTGAACCTGTGTTTTCTGGTTTTAGAGCCTACACCCTTCACCACCACACCATTGTGTAGCATGATACTTCCTGTGGTTAAAGTGTTTTATTAGCTTGGGAGTATTTTCTGAATAATTTGAATCTTATAAATTTGCTTCAAAGAATACAAGTAAATTGAACTGAAAGATCTAATATAGAATGTGTGGCATTCGTGAATAAATTATAAGACCCTCTGGTTTTAAATAATAATGATTTGCTTATCTTGTGACTTTTGTCGGCAGTGCTGCAATGTGCTTGCTTCATTTTCCTTCTCTTCAATAGGAGGAGATGGGCTCAGAGACAGGCACAATTTATCATAAAATCTGATCACACTTTCCCTCACCACCTGGAAGCTGGAGATAGGTTTGTGAAATCTTGCTTGAGAAAAAGTTGAATGTCACTTGTAGTATAATGAGTTTAAGAAAGATGGTTTTACTAGCCAGTTCTGTTGCACAGAGTTCTGCAAGTTTTGGCAATTAACATATGTGATCGACAGTTTTCTCACAAAGATTGTCAGGGTTCTAGAGGAAATTATCTTACAGTTTTATTCTGCTGCTAAAGTGCTATATTTCTTTATCGATGAACTAGCTAATTCTTGATCACTTGTTTTTCTTTAGACATTTCTCTGCCTCTTTATGTGGTGCTTTATGTCTTTTTATGTCCAGCCCCAGGTTTCTTCTTCTAATTGCAAGAAGATCATTGAAATTTTCTCTCTCTCAAACTCCTGGGCTCAAGTGATCCTCCTTCATCTGCCTCCTGAGTAGCTGGCATTCCAGATGTGCACCACTGAACAGATACACACATATATAACAATACTTATAGACACACAAACATCCACATATAAACACAAACACACAGAGACATACACATATCCACACATACTCATTAGATACACATTTACACACACAAACACACATGTGCACACACACACATATGCACACCTTGTTTCCATCTTCTTCTCAGGACTCGGGGCTCTCAGAGAGTGCAAAGAGTCTTGTACCATGAGTCCAGGATCAACTGTGCAACCTTGCCCAAGTGTCTTCCCTCTTGAGATCTTGTTTATGATAATAAACATCCTTACCCATAAATTAGGGTTATTTTGAAGATAAAACAGAAAGGATAACAGAGTGATGGCATGTTATACAGTTTCAAATAAAAATTAACCTTGACCGAAAAGAGGACTGTCCTTTGTCCTAGACTCCTGGGAGGTAATCTTCAATTGTAATGCCTGACAGGAGTATCTTTGCCTGGGGCTCTTGGGTCATAACGGATAGTCTAATAATGAGATTTAGTGTGGGGTCTAGCCAGGTCAGGAAAACCAACTAAGAGATTTAGAGTCCAGGCTTTAGGTCACCCCTGGAAGGACTGGAAACTGAAAACTGAGAAGATCCATCCACGTGGACAATCAAGCATGCCTCTGTGATGAAGTTCCAGTAAACACCTTGAACACTGAGGCTTGAGGGAGCCTCTCTGCCTGGGAATACTCCATGTGTATTGGCACATAGCAAAGCCAGGAGGGTAATGCACTGCTAGACTGAGAAGACTACAATAAATACCTAACTCTTCAATGCTCAGGCATTAAATATCCACAAGCATCAAGACCATCCAGGAAAACATGACCTCACCAAACAAACTAATTAAAGCACCAAGGACCAATCATAGAAAAACAGAGATATGTGACCTTCCAGACAGAGAATGCAAAATAGTGGTTTCAGGGAAACTCAAAGAAATTAAAGATAACACAGAGAAAGAATTTGGAATTCTATCAGTTAAATTTAACAATGAGATTGAAATAATTAAAAAGAATCAAGCAGAAATTCTGGAGATGAAAAATGCAATCGACAATAAATAATGCATCAGAGTCTCTTAATAGTGGAATTGATGAAGCAGAAGAAAAAATTAGTGAGCTTGAAAACAAACTATTTGAAAATACACAATTAGAGGAGACAAAAAATTTAAAAGAACAAAGTATGCCCACAAGATCTAGAAATAGCCTCAAAAGGGCAAAGCCAGGAGTTACTGGCCTTAAAGAGGAAGTGGAGAAATAGAGGTAGAAAGTTTATTCAAAGGGATAATAGCAGAGAATAAATATTCAAGAACATTATAGGACACCAAGTAGATTTAACCCAAAGAAAACTACCTGAAGGCATTTAATATTCAAACTTCCAAAGGTCAAGGATAAAGAAAGGATCCTAAAGCAGCAAGAGAAAAGGAACAAATAACATACAATGGAGCTCCAATGCATCTGGCAGCAGACTTTCAGTGGAAACCTTACAGGCCAGCAGAGAGTGCCATGATATGTGTGATGGGCTGAAGGAAAAAAAAAAAAACAAAAAACCTTTTACCCTAGAATAATATATCCAGCGAAAATATCCTTCAAACATGAAGGAGAAATAAAGACTTTCCCAGACAAACAAAAGCTGAGGGATTTCACCAACAGCAGACCTATCCTACAAGAAATGCTAAAGGGAAGTCTTCAATCAGAAACAAAAGGATATTAGTGAGCAATAAGACATTATCTGAAGGTACAAAACTCACTGGTAATAGTAAGTACACGGAAAAACACAGAGTATTATAACACTGTAATTGTGGTGTGCAAACAACTCTTATCTTAAGTAGAAAGACTAAAAGATGAGGCCGGGCACAGTGGCTTACGCCGGTAATCCCAGCACTTTGGGAGGCCAAGGCGGGCAAATCACGAGTTCAGGTGATTGAGACCATCTTGGCTAATACAGTGAAACTGCATCTCTACTAAAAATACAAAAAAAAAAAAAAATTAGCTGGGCCTCATGACATGTGTCTGTAGTCCCAGCTACCTGGCAGGCTGAGGCAGGAGAATCGCTTGAACCAGGAGGTGGAGGTTGCAGGGAGCCGAGATGGCACCACTGCACTCCAGCCTAAGTGACAGAGTGAGACTGTCTCAAAAAAACAACAACAAAAACTAAAAGATGAACCAAACAAAAATAATAACTACAACAACTTTTCAAGGCACAGTGCAATAAGATATAAGTAGAAACAACAAAAAGTTAAAAAGCAGAGGGACAGATTTAAAGTGTAGAGTTTTGGTGAGTTTTCTTTTTGCTTGTTTATTTGTTTGTTCCTTTATGCAAGCAGTGTAAAGTTATCAGTTTAAAACAATGGGTGATAAGGTAGTATTGCAAGCCTTGTGGGAACCTCAAAAAAACAAAAAACAAAAAACAAAAAAACACTCAATGAATACACAAAAAACCAAAAGCAAGAAGTTAAATCATACCACTAGAGAAAATCATCTTCACAAAAAGGAAGACAGGAAGGAAGGAAAGAAGAAAGAGAAGACCACAACCACCAGAAAACAAATAGCAAAATGGCAAGAGTAAGTCCTTACAGATCAATAATAACCTTGAATGTTAATGGACTAAACTTCCAATCAAAACTGTTATGGAAAGAACTGTTAGGAAAAGCAGTTCTCCCCATCCCCACCCACATCATTTTTCATCAACTCTAGATGAGGTAAGGGCCCCCAGATGCCTTAGGTTTAGCATTCTTTGGGGTGAAGTCCCTTCCTGCTCGGAGTCTAAAAACAAGTAGTGACACTGTTTCTGCCTAATAGACCTTCAGTCTCCAGAGTGGAGAATCTGCCTTTGTGTGGGGTCTTAGTAAGAAAAGCTAGGAGCCACATCGGATCCTCTCTTGCCCTGCTGCAGCCAGGGCGTGTGCATGTGACTTAGACTCAGCCAACCAAATGCTCTTTCCTTGCACGTGGACATTTGAGTGAGAAAGGCGAGGAAACAGAGATGGCTGTAGTACCACCAGAGGTCGTGGGGTGGGCAGGCTGAACCGTTTCTGTTAAGAGACTGTTGTTGTGGTTCTTGGGGCCTTCCTCTTTGTTTCTTGGTTCTTAACTGTTCTCAAGCCTGATCCATCAGCTTCCTTCTATTCTGTCACTTCCCTGACAGTCTTTCAATAAGTCCCTTTTACTTAAGTTAGCTAGATTAGTTCTCAAGCTTTTAACCAAGAATGCTTCCTGGTGGAACTGAGCCTCTCTCACCCCTGTGGTTTGGCCAATAGAGAAAGGAATGTCTTGGGGGAGCAACCTTGAACTTGGCTTTGTTTCCAGGCTTGGCTCACTGTGGCAGGCTGGCCTTAGAGTACTGCCTCGGCTACCAAGGCCCTTCTCAGTGAGATCATTATGCCATATATTGGTCTTAAGTGTGACTTTCTCTGTCTCATGTAGGATAGTTGACACTGGCAAGGACCAGCTTCCCAGAATCAAACACACAGGAGACGGCTTCTCTAGGACTCTTCATGACAAGCTAGTGCCAGTTCTTGTGGTCAAGGGTCGACATGGGTTAGGAACAGAGAGGTAAATGAACCCTTGGGCTGCTGGAAAGTTCCAGCTGTGCATCCCCACCCTCCCCTGCATCTTTTCTCTTTTGTGTAAATTTCCATTCCTGGTAAAGATGGACATGTAGGGAAACCCATCTTTGTTAATAAAATGTCACCCCCAGAAAATCACTGGAGGGGTTGTGGCCTGGAGTTTTGTATCCAGGGGCTTAGTACAGACTTCTCAGGCTGGCATGGAGGTGGTGCTGTTTGCATGTGGTCAGTCTGGACTGATAAAGATGCTTCCAGGGTACTGGATAAGATTCACTAGCTAAACGTCACTTTGCATCTCTGTATTTGGATTAAAGAAGTTAATTATAAGTGAAAAACAGGTGAATTTCACTTCTTTGGAGTGGTGCAGAGGATTTTCTAACACAACACTCAGATGCTATAAAAAGACAAGATTAACAAATTTGATTGCTTAAAAACTTCAAATTTCTATAGCAGAAAACAAACAGCAAACTGAGAAGTCTCAACAAAATAATAGTAATAAAATAAATAGACCTCGCTTACAAGGAGCAAGGTCAAAGATATGAAGAATTCAAGATGGCAGGCTAGATGCAGTGGCTCATGCCTGTAATCTCATTTCTTTGGGAGGCCGAGGTGGGTGGATCACCTGAGATCAGGAGTTTGAGACCAGCCTGGACAACATGGTGAAACCCCCTCTCTACTAAAAATATAAAAAATCAGCTGGGCATGGTGGCAGACGCCTGTAATCCCAGCTATTCAGGAACCTGAGGCAGAAGAATTGCTTGAACCCGGGAGGCAGAGGCTGCAGTGAGCCAAGATTGCGCCACTGTACTCCAGCCTGGGCAACAAGAGCAAAAAAACTCCATCTCAAAAAAAGAATAAGATGGCAACAGCAGAGCATTGTATACCTGCCCCACTTCTCCCCACCCTCCATTGCTTTTTTCTAGGCAACCACCTTCAAACTTAACACTTTTAGCTTTTTCTTGTATTTACTCTTCTATTTCCAAAAAGCATTGCTACACTCTCATTTATTGATTTTCCAGTTTCGATATTATCTGGAAGGTTGGGATTTAGCACCCTTACATCACTTCCTGTACATACATTTGTCCCCTCACCTTTCATCCCAATTTAGTGTTAACATATTTGGATTAAGCCCATATTCTGTGTTTTCATTATTATGGCTATAAATCTTGATGGCTGAACTAAGTGTTGTAATAAGATGGCATTTTTTTTTTTTAGTGTCTCACTCTGTTGCCCCAGTTAGAGTACAGTGGTGCAGTCTCGGCTCACTGCAGCCTCTGCCTCCCAGGTTCAAGTGATTCTTATGCCTCAGCCTCCCAAGTAGCTGGGATTACAGGCACCTGCCACCCCACCCAGCTAATGTTTGTATTTTTAGTAGAGACAGGGTTCTCATGTTGGCCAGGCTGGTCTTGAACTCCTGACCTCAAGTGATTCAACACCTTAGCCTCCGAAAGTGCTGGGATTACAGGTGTGAGCCACCGCGCCCCATCTAGATGGCATTTCTTTTTAAGAACAAGTTTTTTATGTGCTTGGTTTTCGTTGCTTCTCCAGGCCTTCCAGATCCTTTAATAGTTTTATAAGATGTCTCTTAATCCAGTTTTTCCAAAGGTAATCCCTACCAGATAATCCAGCAGTTCCCTTCTTTCCTGGACCTTCCTACCAACTTCCCTCTGTCCTCCAGTTTAGACTAGATGCTTTCTAGGCCTGCCCCAAAATATTCATGGAGGGTCTTCCTGTTTCTTGGTCCCATGGTACTTTTTTGGGGGGGAGGTATCTTTTTTTTGTTTGTTTTGGTGGAGCACATCCTCAAGTAGCTTTCTGAGAAAGAGTGCATGGAGGTAAACAGTTTGCCCATCTCAAAGTGTCTTTATTCTTCCCTCATATCTGATTGATATTTTGATTTGATATCAACTTCTGGGTTGGAAGTGACTCTTCTTCAGAATGTTGGAGGCATTTTTCTGTTGTCTTCTAGTTTCCAACATTGCTCTGAAGAGGTCCCATCCCATTCTGATTTGAATGTGACCTTTTAAAAAATCTGGAAGCTTTTAGGACTCTCTCTCTCTCTCTCTTTGGTGATTTTAAATTTTACAATATATGCCTTGGTCTATTTTAATTTGAGGTAGCACTCATTGGACTGTTTTTTTTTTTTTGAGACGGAGTCTCGCTCTGTCGCCCAGGCTGGAGTGCAGTGGCGCGATCTCGGCTCACTGCAAGCTCCGCCTCCAGTTCACGCCATTCTCTGCCTCAGCCTCCGAGTAGCTGGACTACAGGCGCCACAACGCGCCCGGCTAATTTTTGTATTTTAGTAGAGACGGGTTTCACCGTGGTCTCGATTCCTGACTTGTGATCCGCCCCTCGGCCTCCCAAAGTGCTGGGATTACAGGCGTGAGCCACCGCGCCCCGCCTGGACTGTTTTAATCCAGAAACTTGTGCCCTTCAGTTCTTGAACTGTTGTCATATTATTTATTTGATAACTTTCTTACATTTTCTCTTTCTGGAATCCTTCATATGCAGCTCTTCTCTTGCTTTCTTATTTTTAAACATTTTCTACTTTTTCATCTCTATTTTCTTTTCTATTCTTTCTTTTTTTCTTTTTCTTTTTTTTTTTTTTTTTTTTGAGACAGGGTCTCACTTTGTTGCCCAGGCTGCAGTGCAGTGCCACAATCATGGCTCACTGCAGCCTCGACCTCCCAGCCACAAATGATCCTCCTGCCTCAGCATCCCAAGTAGCTGGGACTACAGGTGTGTCCCACCACACTCAGCTAATTTTTAAATTTTTCATAGAGATGGGGTTCTGCCATGTTGCTCAGGCTGTACTTGAACTCCTAGACTCCTCCCTCAGCCTCCCAATGCTCTGGGATTACAGGCATGAGCCAGCGTGCCCAGCCATCTCTTTCTATTTTCCAGGAGGTATCTAATTCATCTTTACTTTATAATCCTATTAAATTTTTTATTTTTTTCATTGTACTTTTAATTTCTTGAACTTTTTCATTCACTAAATACACATTAAGTGTCTTGTATCTGAAACACTTGGGACCAGAAGTGTTTTAGATTTTGGATTTTTTGGGGGTGAGTGGTATTTGCATTATACTTAGCAGTTCAGAATCCCCAGTCTGAAAGTCCAAAATCTGAAGTGCTCCAAAGAGCATTTCCTCTGAGCATCATGTTAGTGCTCAAAAGTTTTGGATTTTGGAGCATTTGGATTTTGGGATTGGACATGCTCAACCTGTGCACCTTTTGATCCTATTCTTGTTTCATGGGTACAGTAGGTTCTCTTATCTCTGTGAGATTATTACTTACATGGATTTGACTTTTTTCTTCTGTTCCCTGAAATGTTTTTCTTTCCTTTGGGTTATTTTTAAAAAAATATTTGTTTCATGTTAACAGTTTTCTTGGCCAGGTGGCTCATGCCTATAATCCCAGCACTTTGGGAGGCCGAGGCAGGCCAGCCTGGCCAACATGGTGAAACTGTATTTCTACTAAAAAAATACAAAATATTAGCCAAGTGCGGTGACTGGTGTCTGTAATTGCAGCTGCTCAGAAAGCTGAGGCAGGAGAATTGCTTGAACCCAGGAGGCGGAGGCTGCAGTGAACCGAGATTGCACCATTGTACTCCAGCCTGGGCAACAGAAACTCTGTCTCAAAAAAAAGTTTTCTTAAAATGCATTGGCAGTATTTCGTATATAGCAAGGAGATGCAGAGACACCGATTGGGCAATTTGTGGACTTGGGCAGGACTTTTCCAAGTCACTGCTGAAGGACTGGTTCAGATAGGGCTGTTTTGGGGAGATCCTCTAATGTCAGTATCTGAGGTCATTTTTCTGAGTGATTCAGTTTCCCCAGAGAAGAATCCTCTAGACTTTTCCTGGGAGAGTGTATGTCTGGCTGCAGCATTCCAGCATCCAAGTGAGGAAGGGGCTTGGCGTGTTTCTTACCCTTCGATGTGTAGACTTTTGCTTGTCCTCTTTTCTCTGTAGGTCCTTCTGCCTTGGGCCTTCATCTATGCCCAGTGTTGCTGGGCCAGAGCCTCTTGGTTCACCCTCTCCAGGGAGTGATCCCTGGCCCTGTGCTGGGTGGAGAGGTGGCTGTCACTTGGCTACACAGGGTTTGGGAGGGGATATAGGGTCTGATCAGTTCTTACAGACTTTCAGCCCACTGTTCTCAGCCCTCCTGGCGCTAAGGCCCTGAGGGGTCCCTGGAAACAGGCTTTTCCGGGCTTCTCCTTCTGGATGGTTCCTCCCTGCAGGCATTTGGCTCTCAGTTTTCATCACTCTACCAAGTCAGTTACTGCCCGGCCATCTGCTTCCCAGCTTCCAGAATCTTGACATCCTTCGTTATCCATCATCACCCCTTATGGATTTATGCCTTGTTTGTTTCCTCTACTGTCATCAGAGTGGAGTTTTGGAAGGGAGCAGCGATAAATCTGTCTGCTCAATGTGCCATGTTTTTCTAGAAGTCCACTCACTGTGGGGTTTAAGCAGGGATGTGACCAGGTCCATTAGGGATGTAAGAGCAAGGATGCTTGCCTCCAGTGGTAGAGGGATTACTGGGGTGGGGAGCGGGATTGGAAGCAGAGAAGAGTTTTGTTTGGTGGTTAAGGACCTAGACTGGCTTGGCATGGTGGCTCACACCTGTAATCCCAGCACTTTGGGAGACTGAGGCAGGCGGATCCCTTGAGGTCAGGAGTTTGAGACCAGCCTGGCCAACATGGTAAAACCCCATCTCTACTAAAAATACAAAATTTAGCTGGACATGGTGGTGCATGCCTATAATCCCAGCTACTCGGGAGGCTGAGGCAGGATAACTGCTTGAACCTGGGAGGTGGAAGTTGCAGTGAACTAAGATCACGCCACGGCAGTTCAGCTTGGGCAACAGAGTAAGACTGTCTTGGGGAAAAAAAAGAACCTAGATTGTGGCCCAGGCTTCTACCTGTGTTGGCAGACAAGTTATATTATCCCTTAAGCCTCAAAAAATGGACATCATGATGGGACTGCCTTGTGCATGTGATATGAGGAATAAGTGAGAAAACACGTGCAGTGCTGAGCACCGCGCCTGCCACGCAGTAAGCATTTCACACACACTCACTACTATTCCTTCCACTGTTACCAAGTGATAGATGGGACGGACTTGAACCAGGCAAGTGGCCTGAAGGTGGAGAGGAGGGTGTGTCTCCTTCCCCAGAGAGAGGCAGAGAATGAGAGAATGGCTTCAGAAAATCAGAATAGTAGCTGCCGCCACAGCACTCCCAGGGCTTGTTCCCAGCTGCCCCCACCCAGGGTGCCGCCCAACACCCTGGCTCTAGGACAGACAGACAGACAGACAGACAAGTCTCTGTCCTCATTCAGCTGCTGGCATGCTTGAGGGACTTGGCTCAGGACCTGGGGTGAGGAGGGGAGGACAGGGTGAGAGTCAGAGCCAGCCGTGGCCTCCCAGAGCCTTGGCACTGGGGTGAGCCAGACAGAAGCAGAGCAATCCATGCCTCACCAGTGGAGGGTGTTTGGGAGGAAGAAGAACCCCATCTTCCCAAGGTCCTTTCACACTTTCACCTTTGCATCCTGGGAGTCAGGCAGCAGGGCCCTCCCAAGGCCCAGGAGGTGGAAGGAAGAGGGTGTGCGGAGGCGGGGAGGGTGGCAGCAGCCTGTCTCCCAGCCTGCAGGCTTTGGTCTCCTTGCTGGGGGTGGGACAGGAGAGAGAGGATGGGCTCCACCCCAGCCGGTTGGGGGACAGAATGAGTGAGATTCACCGAAGTGCCAAATGGTCAGGCAGTGTTCCCAGGACTTGGGGGCACCTCAGAGGCACTCACAGACAACCCCCTCATCCTGGCTGGTCCTGAAGCCCCTTGGCTTCCTGCGCGTAGATGCTTATCCAGCCAGGTAGACCCACAGGGCTGAATCCAGACTCGTTCTTGCTGTGTCCACAGACTCCGTGTCCATCAGGCCCTGTGTGTGGGGACTGTGGTAAAGGAGACAGACCTCCAGGTGCCTGTCCTGCAGGTCCTCACACCAGGGGGAGATGCACAGATGACAGTTGGGGATGATTGGCACCAAGGCACGCAGTCCTCGTGGGCTGTAGGACTGGGGAGAGGGGCACCAAGCCCTCCTGGGGTCAGGAACAGTGACTCAGAGAAGGAGCCTGCCCTCTAAAGGCTGACTTCCACCCCGAGGAAGAAGGGTGCTAAGTAGAGGGCAGGCTGGGCAGAGGCCGGGGCCACGCGAGTGTAGGGTGGGGCAGAAGAACCCTCAGGAGGTGGCAGGGAGGGGGTGCTGGAGGGTAGCATCTGGAGCTTGTCCAAGAGGGTTGACCTGAAGAACTCTAAGATCCTTTCTGGGCTGACAGGTGCTTTAAGGGACCCTGGGGAGAGGTCACAGCATTTCACTGGTGTCAACTTGGACTTGGGTGGGAGAAGGGGAGGCCCTGGTCCCTGCTTTCCTCGAAGCCAGCATTTCTACAGGGAGAGAGACAGGCTGGGTCACATGTGGGATCTTTCACTTCACCCCATGGACCCCCCCATTCAGTGACTCCATGACCAGATCCCAGGGGTGGCCAGGGGAACGGGCCCACAGGTGTCTCCTGTCAGTGGTGGGCAGCTCTTTGCAGTCTCGAGGTGAGAGTGAGGTTTCTGACCAGAGTCACCTACTGTCTGCTCTGACCTCTTGTGGGACTGCCCAGCCGCGCTATAATTAGCCTAAGGAGGGGCGTGGAGGGGAAGGGCTGACGGGTTTGGGGATCCGGGTGTGTCGGCAGTGCAGAGGAGCTGGCAGTGAGCCTGCCAGAGGAAGGAAGGGCTGGCTGCCGGCCGCCTGTGTGATTTTTCCCAAGAAGACACTGCTATTTATACCCCTGTAGCTTGGGATCAGCTTCTTGCAGATGAGGACGTGAAGGCCCAAGGCCACACAGCAACTACAGCCAGGCAAAGAGTAGAACTTGGGTTTCTGACTCCCAAGACAGCACCTGGGCCTGATTCTGGCAGTGGATTCTGTGAGGGTCGCCTCATGCTCCCGACTTCTCCCACACACCCAGGGTGGGCTGAGAGGTTGTTGTGGTTTCAGCTGCCCAGCAGCAGGCCCACAGGAGCCACACGAGCAACGAGTCAGCACTGGGGCAGCCAGGAAACAGAAGGGCTGGGCTGTAGCCCAGGGACTGTTGGTGCCGGGATGAGGCGCATGGGACCCCTCAGCCCCAGGATCAGAGGACCCCCTGGCTGGGATGGGTGAGCCCCCAGTCTACCTCCTGGAGCCACGGAATGCTAGCGGGAAGGAGGGAGCCCAGGGCCAGCTGAGCCCACCAACCCCTGCTGACACTCTGCCCCGGGTGCAGGCCCAGGGAGGCTCAGGGAGCCCCAAGCCGCAGGAGCACTTGGGACGCTCCTTTCTCCCCACCAGGCCTTGGCTGCCATGGTTTTGAACTTGTATTTGGGGTGAAGTATTTGAGGCCAGGCTAGCGGCTGAATGGGAGGAGCCCTGCACTGGGGGCAGCTTAGTGAGTAGACACAGCCTGGTGCAGGCAGCCTGGGCCTGGCTTCAGATCCTGGCCATCACGTCCCTCTTGTGTGACCCAGGGCAAGTGACGTATGGGCCCTGAGTGTGTGAGGAGAGATGATGGTAGAGTCTGCCCGGGATGTTGTGAGGAGCAAATGAGAGGGTATGCCCCCAGTACCCGGGGCCAGCCTGGCACGTGGTCATCTTGGGCACTAGAACTGCATCCAGCAGCTGCTCATCTGCCAACGCCTGTGTTCGAGGGTCTGTTTCTAGCCAGCATGGGCAGTCTGGGTGATTCCAGGAGGATTCCAGGGTTCTCAGTAGAAGTCTGGTCACCTTGGCTTTCTTCTCTGCAGCTCTGGGCAGAGCCAGGGGCTTGTCACTGGCCAGGGGACTTAGGAGACCACACAGACCACCCACCCCACCCTGGGTCTCCCAGCTGCCAGGCCCGCTCCTCTGAAATCTGGGTTTTGGGATTCCATGGTCTGATCTACCCTCCCAGCCTCTCTCCACACCTGCCTTCAGCGGTCTTGGCCCTGTTTCCAGACCCTTTCATGTTCTCCCAGCCTCTCCACATCTCGGAGTGTCTTTCTCTCCCTGCTGGACTCCAGGATCCATCACCTTTGCCCTTCTTCCCTGTGCAACCCCCCGCCTGTCCCAGTCAGGACTGTATGCTCATCCTGGCCCTCTGGCCTGGCACCACCTGCCCTGAGGCCACCCAGACTATAGAACTGGAGGGTTTGTGCCTCCCCATCTCCCCTGCCTGGCTAGAGGCCCCAGGTCCCACGGGTCCTGCCTCCCTCCGTTGCTTCTGCCCAAGCCGTGGCTGCCTGGGTCATCCCCAGCCCTGCATGTCTGCGTGGCTCAATTCTCCCCAGCCACTGCTGCCCCCAGAAGGCCCCAAACCTTCCTCCAGGACAGCAGTGAGCCATAGGTGGGGTGGTCAGCGGGTTAGGGCGCTCCTGCTGCTAAGCCATAGTGGTGTCTGCCTAAGGTCCAGCAGGGGCAGCAGGCTGGTCACTGGTCCCAGAAACAATAGCATGGCCAAGGGCTGTACAGAGTGAGGCAGGGTCAGAAGTGGGTGCCAGCCAGGCCTGGGCTGCTCTCCCCAGGGCCCCCACCTCTGTGCTCCCTGCCTCGTGGTGTTGTGTCTGGGCAGCCTTGTCTTTGGCACACCGCAGCAGCAAAAGTGTATGGTGGACACAGATGGCGCCTGCTCATGTCTGCCATTTTCCCCACCACCGCTGCCAGGGAATGCTGGCTGGAGGAAGGCCAGAGTAGATAGGGTATGACAGAGGCCGGAGGCCAGCCCTGTCGGTGGGTGGGGGAAATGGACAGGCACGGCTGCCCTGCCTGGGTGGGGCCATCGGAGGCTCTGTTGTGTCAACTGTGATGTGATGTTCTCTGGATCCTTGTTGGGCCTGGCTCCAGGGTCTGGGCTCAGGGACGGAGGCTGCAGGGTCAGAGGGCAGCGCCACATGAGGGCTTGGTGGTCCAGGAGGCCTTCTGAGGGCAGGGCCCTGGCAGCGTGTGCAGAGGGCTGGGATTGGGGTTGGGATGGTTTAGCCAGCTGGAGTGCCCAGGAGGTGAGATGAGAGAGGCCGGGAGGGCCTGTGCTGCTGGCTGTGGTTGGAGGATCAGCTGAACCGAGCGGGGAGGCTGGAGTTTCCTATAGCTGTAGGGCTCTGTGCCCCCTCCCACCTCTCCTCCTCTCCCGGCCCCACCAAGACTTCTCTGGTGGGTCTCACAGGCTGCGCCCCCTCCATCCTCTAGCTGTGGGTGGGGCCCGTGCCTGGACGACCCTCCCGCCAAGGACATCATCGACTTCCCCTCGGTGCTGCCTGGCATCCTCTATGATGTGAGCCACCAGTGCCGCCTCCAGTACGGGGCCTACTCTGCCTTCTGCGAGGACATGGATGCGAGTGGGGCCGGTGTGGGTGTGGGGGTGTGGGGACCCGGCAAGAGGGCTCAGGGGACAGCTCTCACCAGCCTGTGGATGCCAGCCTGGGAGTAACCTCGCCTGGCCTGGGCTGCGCCCCCGAGTGATACTGTGAGACGTCAAGTGGCCTGTGGGAGAGGCCAGGGATGGGCGGCCACAGACCCAGCTCTGATTTCTGGGTCAACCATGGACCAACTGTGACACTTTGGGCAAGTCCCTTAGCCTCTCTGGAGCTGGCTCATGAGAGGGAAAAGGAACCCCAGTGGGGAGGGTCTATTTATCCTGGAGAAGATCACCTGAAGTGATCTTCCAAGGGGAGTGTTTCCAGAGGAGGGGCTGGGCCGGGAGAGGTGGGGACAGTTGGGGATGGCTCTGAGCAGCGCGTCCCCGGGCACCTCACACCACCACATGGTCCGGGGAGGAAGGTGGGAGCAGGCACACAAGAAGGGACCTCTGGGGGTCAGTGGGCCCCTGCCATGTGGAGGGGTGCCCAGGGGACCCTTGGGGACAGGGAGGGGGCAGGGTGGGTGGCGGCACTGGGAGGGGGTGAGGGTATGGCCCGTGTCCTCCTCCTTGCAGAATGTCTGCCACACACTCTGGTGCTCTGTGGGGACCACCTGTCACTCCAAACTGGATGCAGCCGTGGACGGCACCCGGTGTGGGGAGAATAAGGTAGGGGATGTCCCCAGTCCCAGCGGTGGGTGTTGGAGAGGCCAGACCTGCTGTAACCAGGCCCTGGGATCAGCCCCGGCTCACAGTCTTGCTTGTGCTCCTAGCAGAGCCCCGCACTCTCTACAGCCCAAGGCCCCATCTGCAAAGCGGAGGCATTGGGACCAGGGCTGGATTCCATGATTCCCCAGGGTGTCTTCAGCTGAGTCAGCACGTGGGCTGTTTTACTCCCTGCTCAGCTCCTCCCTGTGGCCTGGGTCACAGATGATTGTGATGATTGTGAGGGGGTCTCTCTCACCTTCCATCCTTCCCCTCTGTGCCTTTCGCAGCCTTCCCACCCACCTTGTTCTCACTAGGGTGAGGATTACTGATAGGCTGGGGGGTGGGGTGGCTCTACCTCCATCTGTCACAGTAGTGGTGTCTCAATGAGGAGTGCATGTCTGTGGGCTTCCGGCCCGAGGCCGTGGATGGTGGCTGGTCCGGCTGGAGCGCCTGGTCCATCTGCTCACGGAGCTGTGGTGTGGGCGTACAGAGCGCCGAGCGGCAGTGCACGCAGCCTACGTGAGTGTGGGGCCCAGGGTGCCCTGGGCAATGGGACAGAGGGACCCAAGCAGTCAGCCGATTGCAGGAGCTTGGCTCTGTCCCAGCCCCTGGCTCTGAGAAGTGTCTTCATAAATGGTCAGTCCGAGTGTCCAGGCCACCTTGAGTCACTTTCAAGCAGTGTTCTGGGGGCTGACAGGGTCCCCACTGCTGACCCCTTTCCAGAGAGCGGGACACTGCGGCCCAGAGACTAGAGAGACTCATCAGAGGCCACATGGCAAAGCAGCTGCTGGTTGGAAGGAGGCAGGAGAGGGCAGTGGCGAAGAGCATGGGCCCTGGACCTTAGATGGCTCTGAGTTCGAATCCTCTGTTCACCCCTTCTCTGGGCCTCCGTTTCCCCGTCTATATAATAGCAGTGCCCATCCAGTAAAGTTGTAGTCGGGGGCAAATGCAGTTTACGCAGGCCAGGCCCTCAGTTTTGCAGCTCGTCTGTAGTGGGCACTCAGCGGGAGGGGCTTGGTGGCCTCAGAGGCACAAGGGTCTGAGATGAGACTGGGGGCAGCTGGGAGGATGGGCCAGCAGTGAAGGGGTGGCCTGAGGTGAGTGACTTCACCTCTCTGGGCCTCTGTTTCCCCGTCTAAACGGTGGGGTGTGAAGATCTGGTGAGATGCAGAGGCCAGTGGTACTGTAGATCTGAGGCACTACCCGGCTAATCTTCACTTCCGGAGGCCACCTGGGGCAGGCATGGGGTTCACAGTCAGCCCCACCCAGGGCCCTGTGCTTACCCAAGATTGGCCTGTGGCCCTCCTGCCTCCTGGCCTCCAGGTCTGAGCTGGGTGGTGGTCAGCGACCCTGGCCTAGATGCAGAGGGTTTCAGGAGCTGTGCTCGGTCAGACCTCTCAGCTGGCTGGGGCCCTGGGCGCTTCCTTTAGGCCCGGGCTGGGGTACTGCCACCAGGAGGGAGGCTGAGGACTCAAGGGCTCGTTAGGATGCTGGTGTCATGGGTCGGAGACTTGGAGCAGTCCCTCCAGCCAGTGCCAGTCATGCCTACAGCTTGTCCCAGCTTCTCAACAGCCCTCTGCAGAGGCAGCCCCAACCTCACTTTATACTGGAGGAAACTGAGGCCCAGAGGGTGGCTGAAGACTTGCCCCCGATCACACAGCAGGTTGGGGGCAGAGCTCAGGCTTCCTGTTGCCACCTCCCCGCAGGTCCTTACAAACAGGAAGGGTGTGTCTGGGCCACAGGGTGGGCAGCCCAAGGGAGGAGAACAGCGTGCACAAAGCTGGGCGGCAGGCATCTCGGGGTGTGGGTGCAGGAGGAAGCCGCTCGCTCTGGGCTGTGGCCATGCAGTAGTATTCACCAGTCCCTCACTAGGGCGCATCCCGGTCCTCCCCACAGGCCCAAATACAAAGGCAGATACTGTGTGGGTGAGCGGAAGCGCTTCCGCCTCTGCAACCTGCAGGCCTGCCCCGCTGGCCGCCCCTCCTTCCACCACATCCAGTGCAGCCACTTTGACGCTACGCTTTACGAGGGCCAGCTGCACACATGGGTGCCCGTGGTCAATGACGGTGAGTGCTGCCTCCCATGGAGACACTGAGGCTCAGAGGGCTGGGGGTGTGTGTGTCCAAGGTTACCCTGTGATGCAAGCAGGCGGCCCAGTCTCCACCCCAAGCCTGGGCCGCTTCCAATGTCCCCTGGGGCTGCTGCTCACCCCTAGCTCTCCAGTCTGCAGCCTTGCAGATAGCTACCAGCCCAGCCGGAGCCTCCAGCATGTTGGTGCTGCTTGGGAGCCTCTAGCCTGCTATGGATGTGCGTCACAGAGGGGTCTTCCTGATGGCCTTCACATTCCTGCCCCAGCTGTTGCTGATGGCTCTTCTACTTGGGTCCCCAGTGAACCCCTGTGAGCTGCACTGCCGGCCCTCGAATGAGTACTTTGCCGAGAAGCTGCGGGACGCCGTGGTCGATGGCACCCCCTGCTACCAGGTCCGGGCCAGCAGGGACCTCTGCATCAACGGCATCTGCAAGGTGTGCCTGGTTAGAAGAGGCTCTCCCAGCACTGGCTGCCCACAGCCCCACTGGCCGGCCCCAGGCTCTCTCCTGGGTCCCTCCTGGTCCTCCTCAGGCTACCCTCCTCATGCTCTACCTTTGGGCTTCCCAGCCCCTACCCTCTATGACCTCTAAGGCAAAGCCCCTACAATGCCTCCTGGCACTGGGGACCCCTCCCAGTCAGGCCTCGCCCCCTGCATCTCCTTGGATGCCTGCACCAGCACTGCCCCAGCCAGGAAACCAAAGCCCAGGCAGTGGCTTGACCTCTTGCTGGCTGGCTGACCCCAGGCAGTGGTTTGCTCCCTAATAGAAGGGGTTAAATGAGGTGGCACAGGTGACATGAAGGGCTCTGAGCCCCGAAGAATAGTGCTCAGTATTTGGTAACAATTTCTATTCTTATTTTTAATAACAACGATGGCCTCTCCTCTTTGCCTATGTCCCCAGCCACCTACTTGTCCCTGCTTCTTGCCCTCTAAGCCTCTGGGGTATCAAGGCCTGGGCTCCGAGGAGGACCAGCAGGGAGGTGCCAACCCCCAGTGCCTTTGACGTTGAAATTCCCTGCATGCGCTGGTCAGGAGCCTATGGCGCGTCAGATCCCCTGCCTGCCCGTGGCCTTTGCAGAACTCTTTCCTTCTCTTGTCTCATGTGATGCTCACGACATGCCTTTAAGCGAGGGTGGGTCTCCCCATCTCACATCTGAGGAAACTGAGGCTCAGGGAGGTAGAGAAGTTCACCTGGGTCAGAGGCCACAGCTGGGGTGGGCAGGGCCAGAGAGAGGCCTCCTGACCCCCACTCCCAGCTTTCTCCTCCTGAGCCTGGCTGACCCCCGGGGCTGGGGACCACAAGGGCTGGCCGCCAGCACCAGGAGCCTCCCCTCCTTGTGTGTTGCAGAATGTGGGCTGTGACTTTGAGATTGACTCCGGTGCTATGGAGGATCGCTGTGGTGTGTGCCACAGCAACGGCTCCACCTGCCACACCGTGAGCGGGACCTTCGAGGAGGCCGAGGGCCTGGGTATGGGGTGGGACTGCTGTGGGGAGGGGTGTGCTCTTCACCTGGTGACCCCTTCCCTATCTCCCCTGGGCCCCTGTCCTTGGCCTTGTGGTCCCCACCCAGCCTGGAGATGGCTAAGCAGGGAAGCCTTGCTAGGGTGGAATTCTTGCAGGAGTCAGGGGACCCCTGGCCCATGTGCAGAGACCTGTCCCCATGGGGAGTCCTCCTGTCCCAGAGACCCCAGGCAGGGCCAACCCGGCTTGTGTGTGGCCCCTGGGCCTTTCAAAGAATGGTAGTCTCCTCCTGAAACTTCTGAGACCCCCAGCTCTGTGCCCTCACCTCCGATCTGTTTTGCACACGTTGCTCAAATACGGACTGTGTGCTAGGTGATGGGGACATGCAGGCGAAGCGCAGTCCTGCAGGGGGCAGAAGCTTCTGGTGTGACCAGTGCAGTGGAGGGAGGCCCAGAGGGCTATGGGAGCACCGAGGAAGAAGGTCCTGGCCTGGGGGAAGTCAGGGAAGGTTTCCTGTAGGAGGTAGAAGTTGAACTGAATCATAAAACTCAGAAGTGATGGAAGGGGCCTTCCAAATGGAGGAAAGTGCTTGTGCCAGAGCCTGGAGGCAAGAAGAGAAGGCAGGACCAGCTATGGGGCCTTGAATGCCAGGCTGAGAAGCTTAGATTTCATCCCAGTGCAATGTGGTGGATAAAGCACTGGCCCTGGAGGCTGCTCATATCCCAGCAGGATGCTCAGGCACGTTACCATCCCTGTCTGCCTCTCTGCTCATCTGTAAAATGGGGATAACAATAGTACCTAGGCTATAGGGCCGTTACCCATGAGCTTACACAAGTGCTGAGAGTAGTGCCTGGCACATGATGGGTGTGACGGAAGTGAATTGAATAAAAGCAGGCTGTGTGGGGATGAGGAAGGTGTCCCAGGAGAAAGGCCTGGGCACTTTGTTTTTTTTAGAAAGAGAATTAGTGTAGGGGATGGATCCAGCCTTATGATGAGACCAGTTTAGGTCCTCAAGAGAGGGGTGACGGGGCATGGCCACGGGGTCAGGATTTGTGGCACCTCTGTGAGGTTTTGGTGACCCACGACACATCTGAGCAATTTTGGGAGCTCAGACTTTAAAGCTAATGGCGAAATCTTTGGCATCAGCAGGCAGAGGCAAGTGGGGAGAGATGTGAGGGAAGCGGGTGGGGATAAGCAACCTTCTCACCCTGGGCACAACCTACGCACAACCCTTGGCTGACAGGGTATGTGGATGTGGGGCTGATCCCAGCCGGCGCACGCGAGATCTGCATCCAGGAGGTGGCCGAGGCTGCCAACTTCCTGGCACTGCAGAGCGAGGACCCGAAGAAGTACTTCCTCAATGGTGGCTGGACCATCCAGTGGAACGGGGACTACCAGGTGGCAGGGACCACCTTCACATACGCACGCAGGGGCAACTGGGAGAACCTCACGTCCCTGGGTCCCACCAATGAGCCTGTCTGGATCCAGGTGCCTGCCTCCCGAGGCCCAGGGTGGGGGAGCGGAGGCGCAGTCCCCAGGCTCAGCACCCCTCATGGCAGGTCTCGTCCTGGAGGAGTGAGCCCTGGGTCAGTCACAGAGCCTGGCTCTGAGCCAGGCCCTCCTGCTGTGGCCTCTACCTTGGTTTCCCTATCTTTAAAATGGCCCAATGGTGTAGCTGCAGTTCACAGAGGTGGCTGGGGTTGGCTCCTTTAGGACTGGGTGGATGGAGAAGACACCTCGTGCTCACGGGCTGCTGCCTGCCCACCCAGCTGCTGTTCCAGGAGAGCAACCCCGGGGTGCGCTACGAGTACACCATCCACAGGGAGGCAGGCGGCCATGGCGAGGTCCCGTCACCGGAGTTCTCCTGGCACTATGGGCCCTGGACCAAGTGCACAGTCACCTGCAGCAGAGGTGAGAAGTGGGGCAGGCACAGCCCCCCAGCAGGGGCTTCGTCTGTGGACAGGGACGCTGGCTTCAGCTTCCAGCTCACTGCTGGGCCACCACGGGTTTGGAATTTGGCTTCTCTGAGCCTCAGTTCCCCATCTGTGAGATGAGGCTGGCAACCGCCCCATGTCCCAGGCGCACTGGGAGGGTAAATGGATGAGGCAGGTGGGTGCTGGCTCGCGGCGCGTGCTCAGTGTGCTCCAGCTCCTGGCGTTGTCCCTCCAGCGGACACAGCTCCCTCTCGATTGTGTCCTTGCTCAGCTCCGGCAGGTCTTGTGCCTGCATTTCTGCTGCGTCCTGGAGACCAGTCCAGTGGCCCCTCACCACCCTGACTTATTTCCCCGAACTATTTATGAAAAGTAGGACAATTTCTTTAACTCCGACTCTTCCTCCCCGTATTTCCCTCAGTCTCCCCCAATGCTCCTCAGTCCCCGCTCTCTTTATCTCCTCCCCACTGCTCCTCGGTCTCCCCTCCGCCCCTCCATGTCCTCCCCACTGCTCCTCAGTCTCCCCTCTGCCCCTCCATCTCCTTCCATACTTCTCAGTCTCCCCCCATGCCCCTCGGTCTCCCTCCTGTCCTCCAGTCCCACCCATGCCCCTCGGTCTTCCTCTCCCCGCTCGGTCTCCCCCGCCGTTCCTTGGTCTCCCCACACCTCAGTCTCCCCCTTTGTCCCTTAGTCCTCCCTTTTCCCCTCAGTCTTCCCATCGTTGACACTCAGTGTCCTCAGGGTCTCAGAATCGGGAATCTGAGATACAGACATTTGAGCATTCCTTAAAATGCTATTATGATGACAAAACGAAAATGGAGAACTGGGCAGATACCTTTCAAAGCTAGGAAACCCATGTTATCTAATACAGCTGTTTATTTTATTTTTATTTTGTTTTATTTTATTTGAGATGGAGTCTCACTCTGTCACCCAGGCTGGAGTGCAATGGTGCAATCTCAGCTCACTGCAGCCTCCACCTCCCAGGTTCCAGTGATTCTCCTGCCTCAGCCTCCTGAGTAGCTGGGATTTACAGGCACGCGCAACCAGGGCCCTGCTGATGAGGTAATGGGGTTTGAGGCAGGAAGGGCCTCCCTTCCAGGGTTCTGCTAATCCCAGTGGTGGGGGGTTTCCTGGCCAGCTGGGTCCTGGTGGAAGGGCCTGAGCTAGACGTGGTTCTCCACAACCCCGCTGCTGCCTCCCACACACACACACACACACAAACACACACACACACACACTCTCATACACTTCCTTCCTGCAGCCCCAGCTGCTCTCAGCAGTGCTGAGGGCAGAAAATGGGGTGGCCCTGGAGTGTCACCTAGGCTCCCCTCGCCAGCTGTGTGGCCTTGGGCTCCATTTCCCTCTCAGGGCCTTCATGTGCTGAATAAAGGGGCTGCCAAGCCCCATCCTTGCATAAATGAAGTCTGGGCATGAAGGGCCCAGCACTGCGTGGGCATCGAGGGGATACTCAGGCAAAGCGGCTTCTTCCCCTCTACCAAAGCCACTGTCATCCCCAATTGCAAGGTCAGGGAGAGGGCCTGGGGCCAACCCTGCCAGTCTAAGGAATCCAGAAGCTGTGGTGTGAGGAGCTGCGGCCCCTGTGCTATTGGCTGTCTGCTCCCTACTCCTAGGACAGAGTCCTCAGCCAGGGCCCTCAAGCTGGCATTCGGGGCCCCCTGCAATCTCCCCGGTCTGCCTTCTCCCCTTGTCCAATACAGCCTTCTCTATCTGCACTGGCTCCTGGGCAGCCCTCATTCAGGCTCAGAGTGGCCCCTGCCATGCCTCGCTACCCTGCCTCTGGCAGGGGTGGCCTTCCTGCCTCAAACCTCAAGGCCCAGTGGCAGTGCCCCCACCCTGTCCTGCCTGCCCTCAGCATGCACCTAGCCAGCATCTCAGAGTGCTCCTGTGTGTCGCCTAAGCTGGGTGCTGGCACCATCTCTCTCACCTTCAGGGTTAGGGCTGGCCAGAGGGAGCAGGGTGGTTATGACCCCCGGGGATGAGGACCAGATGGGGCAGAGAACAGGAACTGAAGCACCTGGGGGCCTAGAACCAAGGACGGATGGCCCAGGAGGCTCTGGGCTTGCAAAGTCTCCCAGGGGCGGGTGTGAGTGGGCTGCAGGGAGTGGGCTATGGGGGCTGGTTAGGTGGCTGAACTAGAAGCTGTCCTAAGTGAGGAGTTTTCTGCCACCAGTGAACAGTGGAGGGGCGGCTGGGAAGGTATCTTGGACTTGGAGACCTGGAATTCCCAGGATGTTTTGCTGGTCTGTGGGACAGTTGGTGGGACATGTGGAAAGCCAGGAAACTCCAGAGTGTGTGGTCACTGCAGTGACACAGCATGGCCACATCCGTTTGCTGTGGAGGTGGGGTTGACAGAGGAGGGAACGAAGGCCCAAGAGGTGAAGCAACTTGTCTGAAGTCACCCCAGGCGACCAGGATGCAGGCCTGCAGATGTGCGCTCTGGAGCTTTGCCTGGAGCTGGGGTGGAGGAGCCTGCCTGCTGCCTCGTGCCCTCTGCCGGGCCTGGGGGATGTCCCAGGCCCAGGGATGGCTGCTGTCCTCCTATTCCTCCTGCTGGAGTAAGCTGGGTCTGTCAGCAGCTGCAGCAGCAGCAGAATCAGGAGCAAGGCCAGGAGGCTGGAAACAAGCCACCTCCCAAAATAGCTCTGATAACCACGGGGCAGGAGGGCCCAGCCAAGCCTCAGCCCTGACAAGCACAGCCTGGAGCTGGCCTGGGCTCAGTCCCTGGTTTCTGCTGACGGCCTCTAAGGCCCACTCTCTCTAGGCTTCGTGGCCCACCTGAGAAGTGGGAGGTTGGCCTGGGAGATAGGACCCTGTGACCCAGAACCCGAGGCTGAGTACAGCCCCCGTGGCTGGAGGTGGTCACGGAGGCCTGGCAGGACAGATGTACTGGGGCAGGGGGTGGTGGTGGGAGTGGATGGCAGAGGCTGCTGCAGGCTGGCAGGAGGTCCCTGGGACCACAGTTCTGTGCCAGGATCTGTTGGGAAACACCAGGGGTGAGCAAGGATGGAGATGGGGTGGCAGGGCGTTGCCCCGGGTAGGCTTTCACAGGCATGTGAGGGCATCAGGGTGGGGTGTCAGGACCTTTCCTCCAGAAACCTCAGCCCAGCAGCGCCCGTTCTCGAGTCCTGGGGTTGGCCATGAGCAGGTGGGACAGAAACAGCAACAGCTGGAGACCTGCAACTCCGGTTCAGGACCCACTCCAGAAACTGGGGCCCTTTGCTCGGTGGGGAGCTGCTGGAGCCTCCTTAAGGTGGTTGGCATGGGGAGCCAGGTTCTGGGTACCCCAAACCACTGGTCCTGATGCCCCTCTGCCCCCCACTCCAGGCTGTGAGCGGGACCGCCTGTCCTTCGGGTTTTGTGAGACACTGCGCCTACTGGGCTGCTGCCAGCTGCCCACCGTCTGCACCCAGTGCTGCCGCTCGTGCTCTCCGCCCAGCCACGGCACCCCCTCTTGTGGCCATCAGCAGGTTGCCCGCCGCTGACTGTGCCAGGATGCACAGACTGACCGACAGACCTCAGTGCCCACCACGGGCTGTGGCGGAGCTCCCGCCCCCTGCACCCTAATGGTGCTAACCCTCTCCCTACCCAGCGGCAGGCTGGGGACCTCCTCCCCATCAAAAAACGGTACTTGTTTATTCTAACAGTTCGTGTAACATTTATTACGATTTTACATAAATGAGCATCTACCATTCCAAAGCACAGTGTGACTTCATCCTGGATTTGGAGAATCTTAAAAGTCAGAAACTCTTCCCCCAACCCCTCTGCCCAAAATTCCACCACGGCAGCACCTTGGCAGGCGCGGCTTTTCACGTGCTCCTCTGGGGCACATCTGCAGTGGGCAGAGCAGCAGTCGGGTCCATGAGAGCATGGCGTCTGGTGAAGCACAGAAGGCCTTGGAAGCCGGGGGCTGCTGCCCAGGGAGGCCTGTGTGCAGAGGGTGGGGTTCTGGGGGCAGGAAGGTCTTCTGGGCAGGGGCACAGCTTGGCCCTTACTTGCTGCCCGCCTGAGGCCCCACTCTGTGGTCCTCAGAGACTTGTTCCACAGGGATTGGGCCCACCTTGTCACTTGCAGGGACTGCCCCTTGGAGTGATGGGGACTGGGGCCCCCGGGGGCACCTCCCTGGCCCTGTTGTATCTGTTGATTTTTCTGCAAAAAGTGGGCAGAGAGGAGAAGAGCAGGCTGGCCAGCTGTGCCCTACTGTGTCTGTCCCAGGACTTGGAAGGGAGGGAGGGAGTGTGGCCAGGGCGGCTGCCTACAGGTGCATATCCTGCTGCTCCCCAATTCAACATGCTCACCTCATTTCACGCCAACACACCCCATCCTCAGAGGAGGAGCCCAAGGCTCTGAGAGGAAGTAATTGGCCCAAGGGCACATGCCCTGCTGACACAGGCCCATCCTAGGCTCTGACTGTCCACCTCCAAGCTCCAGGCCACCCTGAGCAGGTGGAAGAGGGAGAGGGCCCCGAGCAGGCCCCAGCGGCGGCTTTGCACAAAGCGGGCAGCCTGCCAGAGTTCACGCAGGAAAGCAAGTTGCTGGGCAAGCTAGCGTGAGTCCAGCCCCGCTGCGCCGCCCGCGGGTGGAGGAGTGTCAGGAGTGCTTCCTGTCTGTCTACGGCAGCCCGGCTGGCCCAAAGAGACCCTGGGGACCCATGCTCTGAGTCATGGCTTCCCAGGCCTTAGTCAGAACTGCCCCTGGTGGCAGCCCCTTCCAAGGGGTGGGGAGCAGAGCCTGTCGACTTGCTCCTGACCCACACACTGAGCCAGTCCCTGTCCCAGCTCTGCCGCCGCTGCTGTGCTATGTGACTTCAGGAACCCCCAGCCTCGCTGAATCCATGTCCCCAGAAGGGAAAAGCCTGCCAGGCCTTGCCTTGCCCTGTCTGGGAATCCTTGCGGGAGCCACCCCTGAAACACCCCTATGGGAACCCCTTTGGTCTTCATCATTCTTGGGTGTTTTCCACTGACGGCTGGGGGTGTCTCCGGTGGCAGCTGGGCCTGAGCTGTCAGTCCAGGCAGGAGACAAACAAGCCTGTGACTCAGGCAGGGCATGGCACAGCTGGCAGAAGGAGGCGTGCCTGTTCTTTGTGGCTGGGTGGGGGTGTTATCTGGACACAGGGAGTCTCCAGGTCCTGGCTTCCCACCTTGGTGCCCCCAGCCCACACCTGCAGCTTGGCCATGGTTCTTGGGGACTCCCAAGGCTGACCCTGCTGGGAAAGGCATCCTGACGCACCCGCCCCAGGGTGAGCCAAGGGCAGGGACACCCAGAAACGCCAGGCTGGAAGGGTGGAGAGCCCCTCCTCACCCCCCAACACCAATAAGCCCTGGTCCACCCTCCAAGCCCTTGGGGCGAGCCTCATCACTAGTGACTATAACGGAATTTCAGTGCAGAATATCATACAAATTAGTTTATTTCTTCCTTAGTATTACAGTTCCAAAATGTAACCTGAAGGTCAGCACAGGAGCTGCTGTGACATAAAAAGAGAGAGTCACCTGGCGCCCCCTGCAGTCCTCCAGTTGCCCAGCAGCGGTGGGACACTCAGTGGCACACACTAGGTCTCTGTATGGCCTCCCACCTGCAAGGACTTCCCCGGGCAGGCCCAGCTGCCCAGAAGCCCCGGAACACACAGGAAGACAAAACTATAGGATGGCAGGTGGGGATCTCTGCAATACAAACTTGTAGTTAGAAAACCCAACCGAGCATCTGTCTAGGATACTTCCTATATCAATATACCGTAGTTGGAACCAGAACCGTCTCCAGCCATCAGCAGTCTTGGCGGCT